GTGTAGGTGACCCAGTATTTTGTTGATATGTATGAAATGCAAGGGTGAAGACGCTTCTGTTTTGGATTATTGGAGAACGCAGGAAATTTCTGTTCATATCACAGCTAGTTGATGGCCCATAAAGACCTTGGCACATCCATAGTGCCTTCCTGCACTCAGAATACCAAGCATAAGTGACTACGGGAGGTTTTTTTTAGCTCACACCTGTGATGTACAACTGGTAACTGGTTTGGAACATCAAAGTTAAATAAGCAGTTCTTCTTCCTCTCCCCTTTTTTGTTTTTCTTGTCATACTGATACTGTCATACGTGATAAGTGTGTTAACATACATATTACAGTTTTATAAAAGTATTTAGTCTCATCTTCCCTCTGCGTCTGCGATCAGCTGAGGTGTAACATAACAAAGACATAGTCAACATGACCACAAAGTCTGTTTACAAAATGTCTCAGATGTCCTTGATGACTCTTTATTTATAGCCAGTCATCACAAAAATAGTTAGCCATTTCCCGGATTGTTGTGCAGTTACCATTTTATCATACCAGGCCATACATCCCAGTGGCTAAATAAGTTTAAACAGACCAGACAGCTACATATCACAATGTTATATTTAACTAGTATTTCAATGGCTCAATCCAGCAGAAAAGTTACGTTTTGATGCCTTTTGTTCACATTTCATAATATTTAGTACCAATACCAATATTTCATATAAGGTTATTAATATTATGTGTTTGTTAGTTTGTTTGTTAGGGCAGCACGGTGGCACGGTGGTTAGCACTGTTGCCGAACAGCAAGAAGGTCCTGAGTTCAATTCCAACATCAGGCCGGGGTCTTTCTGTGTGGAGTTTGCATGTTCTCCCTGTGTTTGCGTGGGTTCCCTCCAGGTACTCCGGCTTCCTCCCACTGTCCAAAGACATGCAGCTTGTGGAGATAGGTTAATTGGATAATCCAAATTGTCACTAGGTGTGAATGTGCAAATGAATGTGAGTGCGCATGGTTGTCTGTCCCTGTGTGTTAGCCCTGCGACAGACTGGCGACCTGTCCAGGGTGTACCCTGCCTCTCGCCCTATGACAGCTGGGATAGGCTCCAGCGCCCCCCGCGACCCTGAAAAGGATAAGCGGAAGTATGTTGCTAACTTCAGGGAACTATCATGAGGCTCCATGATCTGCCATTGCTGTAAAGAAAATGGGCCACTGGAGTGAAGACAGATGACACAACTCTCCTGTCAGTGACTTGTAATCAACTGACAAATTTCTAGCAAAGCCAAAGCAAATAGGCTTTGCTATGATTTCACAAAATGGTTTCTAAAATCCAAATTTTAAGTCATATCAGTCTGTTTTACAAATTTGGAAGATCCCAAGAAGTTTCTCTAGGTATGTTTGTTTTTTGTAAGCATGTTTGAGATAAATTAGATAAAAAAGCTTTCCATCTTTCTCCAAAAGTTCATGATAAAGATATAATATAATATAATATAATAATATAATAAAGATATATTAGGCAGTTTTCCCCTCACTCACATTCCTCCAGTTCAAAAAGTCTACATCTGTTGGCTTAAAAAAAAAAAACTCATTAGAAAGAAAATTTTTTCCTCTGTGATCTGAGGGTAAAATTACGGCTGTAAAGTAAAAGTTCCTGAATGGAAAAGGTTAGAAATGAGAATATTAGAGGGGCAGCTCAGGTTGAGCAGTTAGGACTCAAAGTTGAGACGGCCTGGACATGTGCAGAGGGCTGGATGTTGAATATGCAGCTGGTAAGGAGGAGGAAAAGAGGAAGGTTTATGGATGTGCAGTAGTGAAGGAGAACATGGAGAGGGTTGATGTGCTTGGTGTAGAGAGCCCATCCTATAGCAACAACTGTAATGCCAAAGAGGTCATTTCTTGAAGACGTTAAGCTGTTAATTTTCATATTTTTTCTATTCATAAGCAAGATTAGACAAAATAAGTATTAAAGATTAAGTTTCTGAAAATGTTGTAGGTTTCACGAATGGTTATTTCATTACACATCATAAAGGTAAATATGTATTGTATGTATGTAAAATTCACCAATAAGCAAATTTCACATCTAAATAATTCATGTAGAAGAAGATAATTATGAAAAAGTTAAAAGTGAATTTTGGATAACAGGTGGCATTAGTTACACTAAAATAAAAAAAAAACTACAACAACAAATGAAGAAAACCTCTCACTGCTAAATTTATTGAACAGGTCATCGTCTGCATTTTAAAACTGACCTCAAAATTAGGACACATTTTAATACATTATTTATTGTAAAAGTACAACAGTAAAAGTTTCTCACACCATCTACAACTGCCTGTGCTTCATTGGATACGCAGCCTTTCTCTTTCATTAAGCATCCACAGTGCTGCACCTCAGTCGGCAGCCTTTGAGCCTCTCAGCTTTTCTCCTGTTCGGGACTGAAACCTGTTCGTCTCAGCTGCTGTGGATTTCCGGAGTCTGCTCACTTCATCTATGGTTCCCCTGCTGCTCTGCACAACCAGCAACCTAGGTCTGGCTAGGCAAAATTACCTTTTTATACCAATTTCTATATGGTCAAAATGACATTGTCATCTTTCTATCCCTATTACCCCTAAATTTACTATATAATGAATAATTAAATTTTTGAAAAAGTAATGAAACATGAGATCATGGAGTTTAATTGCAGAGAGTTACACTATTTTTTAAAATGGCCTCAAAATGACCTCCGTCTTGGTTCTTGTGTTAAATATTTAAAACTGTGATGTTTCTTCTTTAAACTGGTTTAAAACATCTGGAGAGAAACAGAAATTGACATTTCTATTGTAAAAGGTTGAAAAGCAAATTTAATTTGAGGCTTATCTTAGCATGGTCATGAACTCCAATAGCTAACTGTCAACATTTAACATTTTTAAAATCAGAGATATTCTGAGCATACTTTTATTTTTCTAAAATTAAGAAGGGGCTTTAATTTTGTAAAAGGTTCATAGCATTAACAGTTTCATATTCTTTAACTGTAAAACAGGTTTATGCTCATCTAGATTTGCCACAAATTATATTGAGGTGCTTTAAAAGATGTGCACATCTGAATAATTGTTTTGTTTGCTTAGCATTAAAAATGTGGTCAGGGGAGCGAAAATTAAAAAGGAGGTTGTTTCAACTTTTCTTTACTGTAGACTTCTCATTTACTTGAATGGAGAATGAATTTTAAAGATCTTTTATGGTTTTTCCATTATTTTGTTGTTGTTGTTGTTTTTTTAATTTTTAAAGGCATAAAAGGTTTACTGGAAAAAATGACAGCATTAGTATATCTACAACAAAGGTGTGGAAAGCAATAGGACAAGAGTAAGAAGAGAGACATAGATTAAAATCAGTGTTGAATGAATTTTCTGGCAAAAATTACATGTGAGTACTGAAAGCTCAAATATTTTGCCTGCAATTGTCTGAAAAGGAAAAAAAGACTGAACAGCATTTGTTGAAATTACTGTTAAAAATGGAAATAATTATAAGAGCTATAATTAGGAGCTACAGGGCATCAAAAACAGAAGGCTTTGGTCTTAAATTATTTTGTCTCCATGGTACTGAATGACATTACCTCAGGAAAAGTTGAATGAACTCAACAATCATACAATGAAAAACTGTCATGGTGCTGGGTCTTTGACCCATTGATTTGAAATTTATTGTGGATGCATCATTCTTTTTTTTTACAGTAAGAGATGATTTATGTTCAAGCTCTTTGAACTTTTTTGAGGTTTGTTCCTCCTTGTGCCTCTGAGATTGTTATCTACATTTCTGGTTCATGGATTATGTTTGTTTCCCTTTGGGTCCAGTCTGTATTTTTTATAAGGTTATGTAGCCTTTTGTTATCATCATCATTCCCTTTCTGTCTCGTCAGGCAATCATGTCTTCATGTTTATTTATTGCCTGTCACTGTATCACGTTCATATGTTTTAGTACTGGTCTCAGTCTTTGTTACTTCCTGTTTTATTTTGATAGCCCCTCATCGCGTGTGGATTGCGTTTAGTTTTGGGTCCCCTTGTCTCGTTAATCAGATCCCATTCAGCTATGTTCCCTGGTGTTTCCCATCTGCCTGATGTGTATATATTGTTTGTAATGTAGTGCCTTGTGGTTGTGTCTTACAGTTCGTGCTCTCCACTGTGAAGTTTGGATTTTCCTTGTTTTGGACTTTTTAGTTTAATGAAACTACCTTTAGTTTACCCTTTGTGTTTCTGACTCATGCATTTGAGTCCTGCTAATTAACCAGCCTTGTTAAAAACTCGATGAACAGAAACTTAATTTGTTGAACCAGGTTAATTTCATTCTGTTACAAAAACATGGATAAAAGTAGCTGAAGATTGTAATGAATTAAACAAAAAAAATCTGAACAACACAAATTTAGATCTTCATTAGACCAATGAACATTCAGATGGGAAGAATGAAGTTATATTAATTCAAAAATGTTCCCTGTTTTAACTCATTATTGTTAGGTTGTTTTTTTCTTCCAGTTTCTGCTCAAGGATTGTTAATATAATTCTCAAAATTACCTTTTGACAAGACTCACGGTGAACCTGACATTATATTTTTCATGGACAACAAAGCTGAACTGTGTATGAAATATGGGAATTTGTTTTTCATCTGGCATTTAAAAGAGAAAAAAATTATAAAATTATTACTCCAAATCACATCTGTTGGAAGGCTGTTGACAACTGGGGGGGGGAAATAGCTCCTCCTTCACAGTAAACTTGCACCAATAAAGACTGCACACCTGAGGTAGGGTGTGCAGCTTTCTTCATTCTTACAATTTAAATTCCCATGTTTGGAGCTTACTTAAACTCTGTGATTCACAGTTTTGTAAAAATAGGATGACTCCTTGAACAATACAGCAGATTTTGCTTCTATACTTTCTGTTACTACATGCAGCTAAACTGGTGAAATCAATTTCCAGTATGTTTTGCAAATATGTTCAAATCAACATTTTTTCAGTGGTTAGTCCTGTGTTTGTATTTGTCAGCTAAGCTTGTTTTCTCACCGTGGTGGTTTTCACTCTGCCTCCTGGTTGAGTGCAGGTCCAGCCTGACTGATTGACCAGGAGATTACAGCCTTCATCCTCCAAGCACGGAGTCATCTCACACCACTGTCGACTCGTGATGATACGAACTGAAGAGGACGACAAGAGGAACAAGAGGTAAGTATGCTTGAGCTTCAATTTTAAGTTTTTACGTTATTTGTGTTTTTTCATCAGCATCTTATGGCTGAACAACCCCCCCAATCTCCTTTATCATAAATAATGATCTCATTCTTGTTGATGTTCCTCCTTTTACTCCTAGACTGTTAACAATGAAGAAATAGGTGTAGATACACAACTGCATTTAAAAATTCTACATAATCTGTAATCTATATTCTGCAATGGCACTCCGAGTTTGCAGTGTTTGCATAGAGTTTACACACATGCTGCTGCACAGTGTCAGGTAAATAATTGTTGAACATACCAAGCTGCTCATACACAGTCTTTACAGAACATTGACAATTTTATTAAGATACACATACAAAATATAACAAGAAATACCAAGGGCTTTATGGTCAACATTGGTGAAATAACCCTATAAAACAATGTTGTAGAGTAACAAGGGTTCTGTGATAGTTAACCTCTGCCCAGCATTTTCAGTCAGATGTGTGTGACTCTGGATCATGTCGAAAGAAGACCATCAAACATCTGTTATTAACAGCTGTATGTGTTTTCAATTAAACACTATAAATGGACAACACAAAATAATTTAATGTTCCTCATTATGCAAAGGAAATGAGAGGAAAATGTGTCAATGGTAAAAATAAATAAAGATGAACATTAGTCGGACATTTACATGCACTCATCATGTGCATAAATATCATGGTAATTTGGGCCGTACCAGATGATCAGAATGAAAGGCAAAAGCAGTCACTCTACACTCTACAGCTAATGACATGTGAAAAAGTTTTCAAAGAAACTGGGGTCCAGTTTAAAACTGTGCCCACAATTCAACAGCTCGTAAAACCATCTTTAGCAGCAATAACTCAAAGTAACCATTTTCTTTACAATGTCATCATTGAGTGATAGAGGAATTTTGGTCCGCTTTACAAAATTGTTTCAGTTCATTGAGGTTTGCGTCATCTGTTTAAATGCAACAACATTTCAATTGGGTTGAGGTCTGCACATCGTCTGGGCCATTTGAACACTTTGGTTCTTTTTTTTTTGTAGACATTCTTTTCTAGATTTTATTGTGAGGGTTATTTTTTTCTCTTTGGCATACAACAACAACAACAACAACAACAAAAATCTCCTTCAAAAACATAACAAAGAACATAAGAGGTTTAACCTAAAAATCCCTCTAATCACAATCTTATTAAATATCCTAAAGGTCTTAAAGGATGCGCTGCTAATACTATTACAGTAGATTTTTAAGAGATCTTGCAGAGTGCATATCTGGACAAGTGAAAGCAGCTGTGGGAGCATGAGGGTTACTTACCAGGCAAGTGGGTTTAATGTTGTGGCCAATAAATGCAAAATAAAGGTATTCTAATGCAGTGTGCATAATTAATGTAGCATGACATAGCATGAACAAAGCTTATGACATGCCATATAATATATTCTAATATATTATGTAAAATAGAATGACCTGAGTTATCAGCACTATGTGGAAAACACACACACACACACACACACACACACACACACTTCACTTCACTTGCAGGGATATTCCTGCTGTTTGAAGTGATTCTTTACTGACCCAGTCTTTCAGTTCTTGCTCTCATTCCTGGCACTAAATTACACACTCTGAGCCATGTCTGGGGAAACACAAAGAAAATGAAAGACTGTAGAGGCCTGTAATACATAACCTGGTAATCAGTTCGCCCATTGGAGCAGTGGTGTGATTGTGATAGCCTGTGAGCCCCCAATTATCAAACCAATTTCCTACTGAACAACAGTAGCATTGCTCAGCCATAATATTTAATTAAATTCTTACATCCCCTCACACCTCTATCCAGATGGAGAGATCCTTCAGGAGGAGGAAACAGTTCAGCTCATTTTTATTGAAAATGTTATTATTAGAATTTAGGTTTAGGACACAATATAAAATTACAAAGATTAGTATGGTTGTAATTTAAGATATAAATCTCTATAAAGATTTCTGGCCTTTGTTAGAAATGGAGTATATTTTCTTGTTCCTGGTATCATTAATAGGAATAAATGAAAAATCATTTGTTGTCATATTGAATGTATACTAGCAATATCATCTGTAGTGTGTAGGATGACTTTGCCTTCACATGTTTCCTCTTCTTGATTTCTAAAGTTAAGGATAAATTGGTGGAAGCTGAAGGAAAAATATTGCACAGAGTTCATTGAGGAGATGAGATGAGCTCTGAGTGGTTACCAGATGACTGGGAAAGTACCCCTGAAGTGCTGAGGGAAACGCGGTATTTGATGTATCCTCTGGAAAAAGGAACAAAGACAAGCAGACTTGGTAGTGGTATGACCAAACAAAGGAAAGGATCTGAAGGAAGAGAAAAAGCAAAGAAAACGTCGGATAGCCAAAGAGATGAAAAAAGTAGACAAGAGTACTGGGGGTTTAGGTGTATGGGAAACAGAGAGGCAGCAAAGACAAAGGAAAAGGCTTATAGTGAGTTGTATGTGATGTTGAGGAGGAAAGGACTTGTATCAAGCTGGAAAAGATGTGCAGAAGATTAGAGTGATTAACGATGTGGATATTGAGATTAGCAGTGAGAAGACTGTGTTAAAAAGATGGAAGGAGTACCTTGAGGAGCTGATGAATGAAGAAAATCAGAAGAGGATGGATGGAGGACAGTTTCATGGTCCATAGCTCCATGAATTTTGAAAAAATAAGTGTGAGCTCAGTTGTGCTCCTGACCTAATGCAGCATCTTTGGATTTTGACTCTTACTCTTGAAAAAACCTTTTTTGGTCTCGGGTTTATGGGCAGAGACCAAGCTGTCAGCACTAGCATCTGTCTTTGACATGAAATTTGGGTCAGTTCGACATCAAAGTTGACCTCTTCACAAGTTTAACATCCAAGATGAAATTGTACGTGAAGATTTCCACAACTAGACTTACAGAAAGTGATCAACACAAAATTTAAACATATTAGGAATGCTTCACTTAGAGTTTTGCTTTTTGTAAGTTCAGTAATTTGATAATAATCAGACACTGTATTAGAGCCTACTTATTTAAATCTAAAACATGAATTGCTTTCTAAATATCTGCTTACTATTATTATGTCTGCATTGTTTTAAAAAAATGGGGTTTCAAAACTTTAGATTTTTAGATTACAAGAATGATTGAATTGCTTACTAAATGTTTGTTTAAATTAGTAGTTTTTATTTCCTCATGTATACCACATTCCCCTGAAAGTCTCTTAATGTCTGACCAATAACAACACAGGATAGATAAATGCATTTCAAGGTGAATTACGTTGCAGAGTGTAGAAAACAGGAAAGAAACTTTGAATCAATAGTGTGAAATGGAGAATCAGTGGATTAATAGCATGTATCGGTAAGTACCCGAACACCTGTGAGCGCTGCATCACTACTCTGACAAATTAATGACTGCAATGCAGATCCATCCACCACCGCCAAGCACAGTTCATTTATCCAGAAAGCGAGGAGGCCATTTTGTAATGACTTCATTCATCAAAGAGGGTGACCTGAAGGAGGGTTGCTCCTTTGTCTCTAGAGAATGAGACAATCCTACAGGAAAGAACACGTTAGGACTGAAGTGCAAATGAGGCAAACAAAAAAATCTGTGCGAAACTTTAAAGTGGACACAGACACCTGTTTTACATGTTCTTTTTTCCCCCGGTTGTAAATACCCTTTGAATTCCAGCTAAATGTTTCTCGCTTATTCTTCTCTACAATCTCCTCCGTCATCAGGTCTGATGACGGTGCTGTCAGTGAATGTTTTAAAATCTGAGTCTAGGACTTGTTTTACAGTCTCTGAATACTCTGGCTTTTTGACCTTTGAGTTCGTCTCCACCTGATGAGAAAGTTTCTTTCACTCATCTGTTTGGACTCAGAGCCGCGGTGGTTAGCACTGTGCACTGAGTTTGCAGGTTCTCTCTGTGTTTTCGTGAGTTCTCTCTGGGTACTCTACCTAGGTAATAAGCACATCAAACCAATAGGTGTGAGTGTGAATGGCTGTCTGTCGTTAGTCGTTGCGTTAGTCCTGCAACCAATTAGCGATCTGTCCAGGGTGTACCCGCCTCTCGCCCTGTGGTAGCTGGGATAAGTGGAAGAAAATGGGTGGATGGGCTCAGAATCACAGTCTTTTTTTAGTCATTACCAGGAGTAAATGGTATTCTCAAAACTGTAACTTTTTTTTTATTTTACTACTTAAATCATGGAAGAACAGCAGAGGAATAAAAAAAAAAATGTGTTGACTGTTTACTTTTTATTCATTTCTGTGAGCATGAAATCCTTATAAAATTAAATACACAGAGTTTTAATCAAACTCATCCAGAGTTTAAATTTCAATTTTTCCATTCTCATAGACTTTGTCTATCTATAAATAGTTTATATAAGTCTGTGTGGATGTTGATCTTTCCCTGAAACAGTGTGAGCTTTCGCTCAACTACCTAAAATCAACCCGAGTGGTTCCTGAGCAGAGCTATGAAGGGACGGATAAAAACAGACTGTGGTAAGATTTTGCCCCCTGTTGTCTGCTGGTGTAATTTAGCAGCAGAAAACAATAAAAATTAAAGGAAAATGTTGCTTGAGATACAAGCTTGAGTTTTCATCCTCGCCTTTGCCGTTTCTGTTTGTTTTCACCCACCTTCTAAAATAAAGCTCGCTCACAGCAAAAGTTGCACCTTGGGTCCTATTCTCCTACTCCACACGTCTGCCATGCCTGAACTATTTATTTCATTTTTATACTTTAAGGCTAACAGAAAGGATAATGAAATGTTAATCAAGTTGCTCGTACTGTGCTGCAGATTTAAAGGTTAAAATAGGATTTTTTTAATTTTTTTTTTGAATTTGCTAGAAATTTAAAAATCTGTGCTAAACTTTTAAGTGGACACAGACACCAGTTTTAATAGGATACTGTGGTGGCGAAAGGTATGTAATCACCCGAGTCTCTGCTCTAGAGCAGGTTTTCTTGAAGTATTCCACTATTCACTACAGGGATGCTATTAGCAGGTGATGGGCAGTGTCTGGTGTTGAAAAACATAGTGCTCAGAGGTTGTTTTGAGTGAACACTGCAAAGAATCTTTGTTTGTGGTCTCAAAGATGTCATGCTTTTTCATTTTTAACTTGTAGTTCTATTCCTGTTAACCAGTAAATAATGAGATAAATAAATATCAAAATTTGAAATAAAGTTGATTTTTAAATAAAGTTTTTTTCCCCCAAAAAAAGCAAAAAATTTTTTTAAACCAAAAATAAAAAAAAAAAAAAAAAACTGCAAAAAAAACAAAATAAAATCAAGCAAAAGGTTAAACAGATGCTGAGATAGTACTGAGTGTGCTTTGAGTACTTTAGCAAAGTTATTCTAAAGGTCATTTACAGTAATTTAGAAGTAATACTTGTACTATCTAGTTTAAGTTGCGCTATATACTAATGAGTGTCTGTCGATGATGACGATAAACTACCGAAAACATCATCCCAAAGCAGGAGAGAGTTTTTCAAACCAGCTCTGATAACAGACACACATTTTAACTCATTCATCTTGAAAAACACAAACGTAACGCTGTTTGGATCCAAAACTGTACATACAGCACCGGGAACAACAGCAGTAACAGAATTTTACAAGAACGGCTACACAAATTGTTTCTATCAGTGGCTCCGTCAGTAAACTTATTAACTACAACGTATCTTCCAGCATCTAAGAAAATGTATTATTTGTGTGAATTTCAAATGTTCCAGCATAAAAGTATTTTTGATTTCCTTTTATTTATTCATTGTTAGCTTAGCAAATAGAAATGGCTGTGATGTAATCTCCATGTAATCTGATGCAAATGGTCTCATTTAAGATAATAAAAAAGCCTAGCAGTTTGGCTGCAGTCATTGGATTTAACAATGATTAAAATTTAGGGGAAAAAACTATGGTAAAACAACTTAGCAAGCTTATGCTTATTAGAGTGCATCCATTATAATCATATTATAACAATTTTAAGCTATTTAAATTTACTCCCCAGCTTAGTTGCTATCTCTGAAGTGACCCATTAGTCTTTGCTAGCTGAGAGAGAGATTAAATTAAAGTGCCACAGGTGTATAATGAGGGCCTTATACTGTAAAATAATGAAAAACATTGTACATACAGAACAGTGTTAAAAAAACAATAACAATAAAATAACAATGAAAATAAAAATTAGACCATAACTAAGTAAAATGGAAAGTATTGAAGTGTCTGCCAGGATTTCGTTGCATAACTAGAGTCAACACATTGCTGTTGTTCTTTCCATCAAATTGCAGTTTACAGTCAGACTCAAATAATTTTGAATTTAATAAAGCATATCGGCCATATCCGCTTTTAGGGCAATAGAGTTTATTCTAATATAAGACAAAGTTGGAGCACTAACACTAAAAAAAATAATTCAAATATACATACAGATGCAAAAAAGCTAAAAATGTTATGAAATTAATGCTTCACATATATTCCTACTTAGCAACAACATTTAAGTCACTGGCAGCTGAAATTAATAAAATTAATTATCTGCTAGGAAATCTAGCTGAACCTTATATAATAGCTCTGGTAGAAAAGTCCTTCAAAGAGCTGCATTTTACTTTCCTACTTGGAGAACATTTCATATTTCAGAGCCTGTGGGGGACAAAAACTCAGAAACAGCAAGGAACACAGAGGAAAAAACACAGCATTGTGAGGGTACAACGCAACAAAGAGCAAGGAGAACACAGGGCTTAAATACACAAGGGAGTAACGTAGGAATGGGAAACAGGAGGGAAACACAGCTGGGACTAATTAGACATGATGAGACAAGGGGAAGCAAAACTAGATACACTGACATGAGATAAGTAACCGGCAAAGTAAAACGGGAAGTATAACACAGAGACGTGGACTTGACACAGACACAGAGAGACATGACTGACCGGGGAGACAGAGGGAACATGGAGGCAAGAAATGAAATGTGGAGCAAAGGGAGGACACAGAGACTGTAACTAGAAGCTAAAAAACACAACAAATTTAATATGAACAGAAAACCATCTACCGAACTCAAAACCATGAATAACAATAATCAAGGAATACAAATTAAAACGGATACAAAACACTGGGTCACAGACCCAGCGCCGTGACAAAAGAAGACACAGCTACTGATGAAATGCAAAGAAACTTTGGGATTTGAACTTCATATTCAAGAAGACAATTGGAAGACTGAGAGAAAGCTTCACTTATGTTTTCTCATAAAGTACTGGACTGATCTGTTGTCTTAGAACAGGAGTGTCGAACTAAAGGCCTCGAGGGCCAGTGTCCTGCAGGTTTTAGATATCACCCTGGGTCAACACACCTGAATCAAATGATTAGTTCATTACCAGGCCTCTGGGGAACTTCAAGACATGTTGAGGAGGTAATTTAGCAATTTAAATCAGCTGTGTTGGATCAAAGACACAAAACCTGCAGGACACCGGCCCTTGAGGCCTCGAGTTCGATACCTGTGTCTTAGAAGATTGTGCAGTCTGTGAAACCACAATGTCTTAGGGTACCTTTTTTTGTATATTCCTAGAAAAACAATTATTCACAGTATATTATATTACTTTAGTAAGTATCTATTGGAGACCTATTCCAACAAATTTGAAATTAAATGATGCCCTGTATCTGAAGTTCTTAATCTAGTAAATACTGTCAAACAAGTCCTTTTTATGTTGACAAACTACCAGATGCAGTTAACGCGATCACTAAAGAGAAGTTAATAGGCATCGTCAAATTCAACACCACTTATTAAAAGACTTAACTGAATGCATATATACAGATTTTAAATGTGCATGTATACTTTTGACCCTGTGTAGATTAGAGAAAATCCAAAATAAACCCAAACATGAGCAATACAAATTTAAAGTAAACAAAGATGCGTGCTGTAAGATCAGAAATAAAAGTCTCAAATAACTATAATGAGTTTATGTAAACTTCTGGCCACAACTGTACTTTTATTATCTAGTATTGTATTAGACAGATTGCAGCCAGCCATAGCAAACAAATTTACCATAGCATGTTCTATAAATAAATGTAATATAATAAAAAATATAGAAAAGTCAAATCAAAGATTATCGATAAGCAAATAAAAGTAAGATCACCAATACTGTCAGAGCTATAAAAGCACGCTCATCTTGTCATCCAGCTAACCCTTCATATGTTATAAATTTAGTACAGAAATTTGTGTCCAAACACAGAAACATGTTATTCCCATGAGTTAAGTTATATCCTAGAAAGCGGATTCTGTTCATCTGGATGTGGCGTGCTCAGTGGGAGACATGTTTCATCACTCATCCAAGTGACTTCAGCTAGCAGTACTTTTGTATAACGCACTGTTATGTAATGTTACTTCTACACAAGAAACCAGTTTTTTTTTTTAAGTTCATTTGTAACAGCTAAAAAGTTGTCAAATTAAACCAGGCCAACATTTCTGTTTGTTTTACTCTTTGTTATTCAGCCTCAAAGCTTTTTTTTTTTTTTGGACTCATTTGTATTATGACCAAAACAAATGCCACTGACTAATATGAGGTCAGTTTCACGATCATTGACATATAAATCGGTGTAACCATTGATCAATAGCAATGAGTCTCTGTGGCTTTCAAACTCCAAAGCTTGATTGAGCAATGAGTTATGGAAGCCATTTATGTGAAAAGGTAACATCCATCTCGGACCAGAGGCCGAGGCCTTATGGTTCAGCAAGGAGAGCATGTTCAGAGTCTGCTGGCAGAAGAAGAAAAGGCTGTCTTCCTGCCGGAGCTCTGTTCCCACAATCTGAAAAATGCATATGTTACCCAGTTCCAGTGACACAGAGTTAGTCGTTTGGAGTAGGTAAAAACCCCTCTCCCCCTGTCTGAGCAAAAATGTCTACACAGATGGACACATTTGTGTACACAAATTACACTTAAGGGTACATCTTTTACTTACTTACAATGCTATGATTGGACCCATTCCCCAACTCTCTGTGAATGGTTCTCATTGCCATTGATCACTAGGCATATAAATATGCATATTCATAATCACAAAACTGACCTCACAGCTCATTGTTAGTCATGGAGCAAGTTTTGGTCATCATGTAAATGTGCTGATTATAGGGTTGGGGAAACCTGCAGTCAGCTGAGACTGAAGAAGACACTAAAAACGCTGATTCCAGATGAACATAACCAACTTTTTGGGATTTCCTTAGTTCATTTGTGGCAGCCAAAAAGGTGTTAAATGAAACCTGGCATTTTCTACCTCTTTTTACAGTTTGATATCCAAAATGTAAACTTTTTTTCCTGATTCACTGCTTGTCTCATTTAACATAATATATTTTTATATATTATTCATTGTATTCACCAGTCAGCAGCAGTCGTCTGAGGACAGTGAGGATCTTACCATCCACACAGGCTGGTCTGGCTCTCGTCGTACCAGCAATCTGTCCCTTCTTGCAGGCGCAGCGAGCTGTCTGCCGTGCGATGGTCGTCCTGGGCTGGCTGCTGTCACGGTCCAGAGTCACAATCTCACAGGTCCCTGCTACCAGCTGGCCTGAGGAAAGCGAGCAGGAAAATCCCATAAACTTCATCGGTCAATTTAACTTTGATGACAATGTTTTACATTCTATTTATTTTAACGATAATTGTACATCTTTAACACTTTATTTTCACTGAATACACGCAACTTCCAGTTACAAAGCTAAGAACATCTTTAAACTTGTTTCCTGAACATGACAGTGACTTCAGTGTACTTAAATGATCTGCATAGCCACAAGCTCAGTCACAGTCACAAGCTCTAAGTCCAAGAAAGCATCTTTGGGATATGCTGGAATAGAAGATTTGGCTGTACAGTTGATCAATGTGAACCTTGCTGCATCTATGTCCAATCTGGTACGAGCAAGTTACCGGTGACTGTATAATCATATCATGTCATGTTTTTCATGTGAGAAATGAGCTTTCAAGCTCCTACGTTAACATGAAGGCTTTGAAAAACATTTACAGGGACCCATACAATTTGCCCATACAACCCCTCACCCCTTCATCTATGCAGATGTATAATTAATCCTCAGAAACAAAATTAAAATTCCTTTATTACGATAACACATTATGTCAATTTGTTATTTAAATAATTTTTTCTCATGAAAAGGAAAAAATAGAGGGCAGTGGAATCGAATCACAGTAGAAGATTAAAGCCTTGGGATTTGAAGAGGTTGGGTGTATGTGGTTTCTGTGGAGACTGCAGCAGTCCTCCCTGCATGCTGATGAACTGTCATCAATAGGGCTATGGATGGACCATCGCCTCTCCTGAGAGGTCCTGACTCACAACAGCCAGGAGCTCAGAAAAGAGAAAACAAGAGGCTCCGTTCAGAGAGGGATCAGCAGGGTCACAATATGAAAAACAGCAACGACAACAGAAAAGCAGCAGTGCCCACAGCAACAGCCACAACAACAAGGGGAGAAGTTCATTAAAGATGAGGCATTTTCAAAAGGTTCAGCAGCATTACTCATTTTTGTCAACAGGCATGTCTGGAAAACACCTTTGTCGACACAAATTTTTCCAACAGAACAAAAGAGAAAAACAGAGAAGGAGATGTTTGTTCTGCTATGAGGTTTTTAATAGATGGGCATAGGATGGGAGGTCAGATATCCACGGCACCTTTGAGGGACCTCCTGAAACGTAATAATTAATTCCTGTATACTATCTATAATATGTTCTTCTCCATTTATACCTTTTCTTTATGGTTCTTTTGTGATCTATTTATTTATTTAATTTATACACTCATTATGTTCATCATGGGCAGAATGGTGGCACAGTAGTTAGCACTGTTGCTTCACAGAAAGTTCTTGAGTTTGATTCTACCATCTAGCGGGGGCCTTTGTGTGAATCACAGCAAAAGTTTCTGGCACAACTTCACCTACTTCCAAGGTGCATGGAGAGGATGAAACAATTCACAATGCAGGAACTCCAGCAACGCTTAAGGGAAGAGGAACAACTTTATTATGTGACCAACGCTTTTTGGCTTGTGGCCTTCATCAGGGTCATAGTAAAACATTATAGAAGTTTGCTTAAATAAAAGACAGGAAACAGAAAAAAAAAATCAAAATAACCGATCACATCTTCATAGATAGATAAGATGACGTATAACAGGTTGGTATTTGGTTAAGTCACACCCAAGTAAATACTGGACTAGATCATTAAGGATGAAGATTGGGGGGGGGCGACACATAATCCCCAGCTGTCTCAAGATAACACATGTGTGAAATACATAAGAAGAATATTATGAATATACAAAAACAAAGAAACTAGAACATAAAAGAACATAAAAACATAAAAAAACAAGGAGGTTGGTGCAGCAGTTAGACTAAAAAACAAGAGGAAGTCATGAAAACACATTTGTGGAAAGGTCCTCATTTATGTCTCTAAAGTGTAAAATCTCTAAAATGTAGACTTAAAACGAGATGTCTAGAATGCTACTCCTTCTTTTGCTGATAAAATAAATATAAATAAATAAATAAACATTACCCAGGCGAGAATATTGTAACTGGGAAAAAATAATAATAAAAATATTAAAAAAGTTTAAGCTCACAAAAACTCATTGATAGAAAAATCCTCATTCACACATCTAGGGTGCAGACTTTTAAAACAGAATATCCAAAATGCTTTTCTTTTTTTCTGGATAAAATTAGTATTACCACCTCTTTGGTTTAGTTTAATTGCTTCAATGCCAAGAAAAAATAAAGGTGAATTTGGATGTTTATCATTGAAGCGTCTTGCAACAGGGTTGGTTAGATCATTCCTATTGATCGAACTTCTGTGTTCATTAATTCGATCTTTCAGAGGGCGGGATGTTTCTCTTATATATATTTCTATGCATGGGCACTGCATCATGTAGATTACATTTTTAGTTCAGCATGTGATAAAGCCCTTTATTGCAATGGTTTTGTTACTTATAGGGTCTTTCAATGATTTTACATTTTTGGTGTATTGACAATTAATGCATGACCCACACTTGAAATTACCTTGTACGTTATGTCTTATTAGAGTTTTATCTGGAGTATTAGGGTCCTGGCAAGCTCTAACAAGGCTATCTTTAATATTCCTTCCTCTCCTATAGGTTATCATTGGTGGTTCCTTATAGGTACCTAATAAGTTTGGGTCATTTTGAAGGATATGCCAGTGTTTTAAAATGATTTCTTTAATGGTTCTGGTTTTTGGTGAAAAAGTTGTGCAAAAGACAAGGTTAGATTTAAGTTTTGGAGATTTCTTAGTTGCTAAATAGAAATCCCTGCTTACTGAATTTACCTTCTCTTCTGCAGATCTTAACCACTCATCTTTGTACTTTCTTTCTTTAAATTTGTTCAACATCTGTTCTTTGCTCTTATTATATTCATCTGGAATTTCACAGATACGTTTGAGTCTAATCAATTGGCTTACAGGGAGGCTCTTTTTGAGGTGGTTCGGATGGAAACTTGCAGCATAAAGTAATGTATTCCGATCAGTGAGTTTAGAATAGAGACAGGTGGATAGAGATTTGTCTTTTTTTGTTACTTTTATGTCCAGAAAGTAAATTTCTTCAGTACTGTAATTGAGGGTGAAATGTAAGCCTGCCAAATGTCCATTAAGGAATACTACGAACTGTAGTAATATAGAGACTGGTCCTTTCTGAGCGGTGAAGTTTGCATGTTCTCCCTGTGTTTGCCTGGGTTCTCTCTGGGTACTCTGGCTTCTTCCCAACTAACCCCACTAACAGGCAGTTAGTGGGGTTAGGTTAATTGGTCATTCTAAATTGCCCAT